TGCTGAAAACAACATCCAAATACACGCTACTTAAAGCATCATTAATTTTCATCAGGATTTCTGTGCAAGAGTGTGGACACTTTCCTGCAAATGACACTCTGCAGAGAAATTGCGGTCTTCAAAAAAAAAGTGCAGAGAAGACCCCAGAATATAATTCTGCTTTATTTCCTTCACGAGGAATAGCTTTTCATCCACAGTCTGAAGACAAGGGGATAGTACAGCCACAAGGCATTTTTAATGGCACAACTTCTTATAATTAAACTTCTTTGCTACAATAAATGCAATAAATTTGCGTAAGCTGCTTTAATGTTGCATTATTAGGACCTTGAATCTACATTGCTATATAAATTTGCTGTTACACTCACTTTTCAAAATATTTTTGCACAGTTGTGCTCTAGAAGCTATACTTCCTCCCCCCAGTGCCCATGACAAATATTTGGGCCTACTGCTTGCCAGAGAAGTCTTGAGAATATGGATGGCGCTGATATCTGTCTGGATTGTAGGCAACAAAGAACAAAAGCTATAGTTATTACTCCCCTGGGCCTCCTACCTGAGCTGTGAAAAATTGTTTAAATGAATTGTTCACTTTAGGTATAAAAGCTACACTGGGACCCAGTGAGTAATACGTGACCTCATGAGACAAACCAAACTTTACTGATGTGGCAGCTTATTTTACTAGGCAGGTATTTTTGAATATTAATTAATATCTGTACATGCATTTTATCACATGCCTCAAAAAGAGGGCTTATACGCTACCACTGGCATATGTATTTCAACAAGAGTATTTCTAATATTCCATTTTATGCTGCTGTTCTATGTAAACCACAATACTACCCAACGCTTACTTACATAGTTATGTAAGACAATTATTGCAATATCCATCTCAGTGCCTGCTGTGCTGTAAAACACACTTCTTTTATGTATTCATCCATTTCTTAGTGAAATTAATATTATGCCATTAAATATAATAACTCTAAATGAAGATCCAACAGTACTTCACTTTAAAACCAAATAATAGTCAGAAACATCTTTATCACAACGTTTGACTAGTTCCGATTGTGCATACCTTTTCAAGACCTGGCATCACAGTATCCTCTTCTCCAAAGACACATGGCACCATGCTACACAGATGAATATGGTGCCCTATGGGAGAACTTACTGTGAAGAGCAATATGTGTCGCCTACATTCAAGAAAAAGAAAAAGAAATCAAAAAAGCACTTTTTTTTTTTTTAAATCACAGCAATTCTTAAGCTTTTCATTTTATACATTTGGCAAAAAGGAAATCCATTCCTAGATATACCAGCTCTTAAAATCCTGCATTTCTATCTCCTTGCTTCTCAAAAACCTCCAAACAAAGGTAGTAGGTGAAAAGAGAAAAGTCACTATTATTTTATTTTTATTTGATTTGTTCATAAATAAACATAGCAAATTAATTTGTTATTTATTTATGTATTTAGGCTTTCTTTAGCAAAATAGATAGTTTCACTATTTCAGATGGACACAAACTAAAAGTTTTTTTTACAGGATTATATTTAGCTACCTTAAAAACATATTTGCTCTAGAAAGCTTAGAGAAGAAGTCAAGTGTTCTGGTCATACATTACTTAGGTCATAATTTCCATGTTTGCATTGACAGAAACCAGAAAAAGTTAACACATAATCGTGTCAGGCTAGATGAAAGGTACAGAGTCACCATTTTATGGAGCAAATGTGGGCCAAACCACTCAACCGCAACCTCCTAAGGTGGCAAACAACAGAAATTCATTATGTCTTATTGAGATACACTCATCTCTCATGGTTCTTGTTTGCCTGATTGTATTCTATTACAGATTCCCACCATAAAAGAAAACATTCCTAACTATAGTTATACAACACAGGGGGTTCATGCTCTTCTCTCCAGTCAGCCATGTCCTGCAGACCTACTGAAACACTTGAGGAGCTTGCTGATATCAAATGGTGAAGCTTCACAGTCTTGTATCATGGTCAGAATGGCATTTAGCTGGAGAAGTTCATCAAGGCCACAACTTCAGTGTTAACCAGAGATCAGGCAGTGACAGTAAGAAAGGAGAGTTGCACACACACTCGCACTTTTTTTAATTGCATCTTCTCGTGAGTGAAATTTGAAACGTCCACTGACCGCCAACGGGCAGAGGGAAGAAAGTCCCTTCCTGGCTTAGCAAGTCATTTCTCATTTGGAATGAAATGGGGGAGTGGTCAATAAACCCATTTGTCTCCCACACCCACTTCCTGAAAGCCTGCTGGCTCTGGCAGGAGTAGAGAGAATCAAAGGTGAGAGGCTTATCAATTCGAGCTGCCTCTACCTCTGGTAGCTTTGAAATTTGCAGGTGCAAAAAGATACATGCTTCTGGCTTCCCTACAGGACAGAGATATGCAACTTTTGGAAATTACACTAAGAATGTGGTGGCAGAACTGATCTATAAACACAATAATAACTTTTCCATTTCCAGTTTGAATCAAAACAAATAGAGGGCACTATTATTTCATTTAATAATAATGAAATTATTATTATGAGAATTAAATTATTATTATTGTTACTATTATCATTAAATGAAATTATTATAATGAGGGCACTATCTTTCATTTAATATCAATGTGCTAGTATTTGGTATTTTCTTTCTATGCCTATTTATTTGAAACCTTACTTGATATTTTTAAAATACATTTCTCTCTCTGAGATTAAACTGGTGATTTTCTGTTTTTGGAAAAGTAGAAGGCCTCCATGAGTAAGTCAGCAACTTTATGCTTATGGCAACATATGAGGACGTCATCTTCCTTGTTTCACTGGAAGCATTTTCAGAAACTAACAAATATCAAAGGCTCTTGCCTTTTATCTATTTATTTATTTAAACAATCAAGCAATGCTCTGCACTGAATATCTAGAATTATATGCAAAGAGAAAAAAAACGTGTTAAGCACTACATGAATACGAAGTAAGAGATGCAAGGATGCATGGACAACCTCAGAATTTCTCCTGTCATGTTTCATAAATCCTGTTTCAAGAAAAGCTATGAAACCTCCTATGGTATCATCATTCTTTTACAGTTCCACTAAAAATCCTAATTCTTTAATTTTTGTTGGTAGTCCAGGAAACATCTCAAAATCATTCTAGTTGTAAATTCCCAGTTAAAAGTGTTTCTATTCTAGTTTATTTTTTTAGAAAGTCACTGTGATTTTTCTTGCTAAATGCTTTTCAGTAAGAGTAAAGTCGTCAAAATCTTTATAAAGGTTTTGGTAAGTATTTTAAATTCATAGCAGTTTTGCAGTCTTACCAAATCTCAGCTATCAACCAATTTGATATTCCAAAAACTTATGTTTTAGTATATAAACTCTCTGTTACTGTACAAAGTAAAAGATCATCTCAAGCCTTAAGACTGAAGTGTTAGGACAGAAATGAAACCTCATACGTACCCAACAGGAAGATTTAACACAGTAGCTTTGGTTGCAGATGTATGCATCTTTAACAGAAGTTCTCCGGGAGTCACACATTTCCAAGAGAAATGTTCAACCATCAGCACACCCTTTGAAATACTAGAACATTCTCGTTTAGTACCTAGATTAAGAAAGAAAAAAATCCACCACAATTGTGGGGAGAATAACAGCAAAAGTAAGACAAATACATTTATGCAGAATTTGTATCTACTTCACAATCATTGAAGTCTTCATTTAGGCTTTGATAACTCAGAGAAAAGAGCCAGTCATTTAAAATGCAGAGGTGGTATGGAATATGGCTTATTTGTACTATTTACAAGAAAATAATGGTTGAAAGAGTGTGTTAGGAGGATGTGTAAACCAGACATCTTCCAAGTCACTTAAGGCTACTCCAAAACTCCATAAAAATCCATTCTATCCACATGCAAAGGAAGCAAACAGTCATACAAAGCTTGTATTTATATTATAGTTTAATTATTTTAACAGGATAGTCAGTTTGGGTTTTCTAAGCTTTCTTTTGGTTCTACCTACTTTACTCTAGATACACTAAAATTATGTTCATACCCAAAGTTTAAATAACTGTTTAACTTAAGGCAATTGTCATAACATTCATTAGCTTTTCTGAATACCATTCCATGAATTCTATAAAATACAAGTGATTTTTATTAAATTCATCCAAGCTGTTGGATCTTGAAATATGCCAGCTGTAAATATACTTAAGAGCTTACTGTGCACCAGTTTAAAAAACACTTCAAAAATAAACTTTGGTCATATTGCTTATTTTACTGCATTTTGATCAGCTAAGGCATAAAGTAGTTTGCAAGAATCGAATTTGTAGAAAAAAACCCAACTAAGAAACACAAGGAAATCCATACTAGAATGGATTGCTATTGCAGCTTGCAGCAAATCATAATAAACAGTAAAGGAAGGGATCCTTTCAAGAAAATATTTGTCATCAATATGAAATAACAAGGAAGTATTGCTTGAGTATTAGTTTATTTCACAAAATCGATTTCACTATTTAATGCTAAACTCTCAAACTGTGCCAAAATATACCACAGCCAAACACAACAGTATGGACATATTCAAGAATGGGAAAACACAACATTAACATAAACTTCCCTGTGTTGGCCTTACCTCCAGTATCATCCCAGTGTACTAATGCAGAAAAGCTAACCAGGATTTCAGTGGGCATCAGGCTGTCCACAAGTAAATAATAGGAGACTCGGTCATCAGTAGACTGCACAGAAAAACAGACATTTGTTCACCTTTCATTTGCGTTAAATGCTGTCCACCTGGGCTTATACAAAGTATGATCAAGGCTTTGGATATTGTGACCCCAGATATGGTATGGGAAGTAAGTAATTAACTGTTCTACTTCTTCCAAATTTCAGACATGTCATTTAAGCCCAGAGCCTCATGCTGTATGTATAAACCATAATGTCCAATTAAGAGAGAAAAGGAAACAGAAAAGTTTCTTGAATGAGAATTTATCTACCTTTATATTACATTCTTTATATGTACCTCAATTTAGTAGTTCTACATGCCAAACAGCATTCAATGGAAGACCAAAAATTTTGTTTTGTGCCGCAACTTTCTGATTCTAATTAATTACACTAAGCTTGAAAGAAATAGGCACTCTCTTAATTTGTAACACGTGACTGATTCCGCCTCATTAGGGTTTTTTTCCTACAAAAATATATGGAGGAAGCATTTTTCACTCTCAACTTTAATCCCTAATTCCTGTGCCAATATTAGAAACTACAGAATGATTCTACTGTTCCTACAAATTCTTCAAAATCTGTAGATGAATGAGCTGCTTTGCTTCAGAACTGTTTAATACACGTTGTCTTACATTTTCCCAGAGTCATATCAATACATTTTTGGTATTTGATCCTGGAATACCATTACTATTATCTTCATAGCATAATATAAAAGTTTTATTTCACAAGTCTGATACAGAATTTACCTAATAGTGTAAAAACCTCAGCTGTGTTCCCTCCCGACTGCTTGTGCACCCAGCCTACCTGCTGGTGGGGTGAGGTGAGAAGCAGAAAACGTCCTTGACCCTTTGTAAGCACTGCTCAATAGTCACTAAAACATCCCTGTATTATCAACACAGCACAAATCCAAAACATAGCCCCGTACTAGCTACTATGAAGAAAATTAACTTTATCCCAGCCAAAACCAGCACACAATGTAAAAAAATAGAATGGTTTTACAGCAAAGGATTAGTTTTTCAGCACACCACCACACAGGCTTACGTAGTCTTGATGCTGAGTATGGCTTCTGAAAGTATATCATGCAGTGATTGGGAAAATGCCTTGTGATGTGATTACAAACAGAGAGGTGTGAAGTTGCAGCTATACTACAGTTATGAAGCATAATCCATGTAGTTAACTTTCTCAATACAGGACTTTACGTAAAGTTCACTCCTGGAGTTTACGTTTCAGTACTCTACAATTACACTTCAGTTACAGTATGAAACTAGAGCTGGAACAGCATATTCAAGCATGTTGAATAACCTTCTGATAATATGAACTAATGGCAGGTTTGAAGAAAAACTGTAATTTCAGTGTAACTAACTGGTATTTCTAATCCCTGCAACAGAATCTTGTAAGCTATTAAAGGACTTAGCAAGTAAAGAGAAAATGGAGGGCTACGCTATACAGACTCCAGATTTGGATTTTAGGTGACAGGTTAAGATGAAGGAGAATTGAAGGGCAGATTCTGCAGCTGAATCATCATTAAATTTAATTTAAACTCTAAACTGTTATAAGGTAGATCTAAGTCAAGATAAAGAGAGGATGCAGATCTGATTCACTGTAATATATACTCTCACTACCAACTTTCATGATTTACATACTCGATTTTTTTATTATCATAAAAGAGCATTCCGTAACATTTTTTTCTTGTCTTAAACACAGTGAAATACTTTTGGATATTTGCTAGCAAACATTACCTTTATATTAACTATAGTAATCTCAATGCATTATTATTTTTTCAGTAATAACAGTTCTAGGTGATCTGCTGATATAATTTAGGATATATGTGTTATCTAATTATGTAAGACTTGGACAAAGGTAAAAAGAAGCACATGAAAACTCAGTACAGTCATATACCTTAAAATCCGTCTTCTGATAGTTATAAGCATATGTATGTGGCTTGTGGAAAACATACAGGTTCCTAGGAAGAAAATAAAATAAAAATACATGTAGGAAAACAATCTCAGTAAAAACGATATATTTCAGGAAAATGTCTATTTCATAACATAAGATACTAATTTTATTTTCATAAATCAGACTCCCAGCTATTTCTCAAAAATGGTTCAACATTTTTAGTTTCAAAAAAGGTGAATAAAATTCATCTCCAGAGAAAGCAGCTGACATTAATTTTGATCTTTGCTGAACTTCTACAGTTTTCCATTGGAGGTCAGGCCACTAATTTGTCCAGTTTGAATCTATAAATGGTAATAAGCTAATATTACTCTAAAACTTCCATGCCTACCTGCAAATTACTGTAATAAAGTTATCTATAAAGTATCACTGTAAGGAAGAACTCTTTTGTATAGTTTATTAATGTGCTTTTTCAATTCTGTTTGCACACCTTCAGAAAGCTACTTAGCTCCTGACAACAATTTTTTCTAACCTTGATTTAACCAAGGGCAACATAAATTACTTCAGCTTTAATTGAGGATGGAATCAGATGCTAAGACCAATGTTTTTCTTAAAATAAATGCTTTGATTACTCAGAAACTTCACAGGGATCCTGATCCATTGCTGATATATCAATCCCTACAATGAATAAAATTTTCCTCATTTCTCCAAGTTGATATGAACTCTGAATATTCACCTTATTTTCACTGTATCTGAGATACAGGCATTTCAGACAAGAAAATGCTTTCAACAGAACTGACTGGTAAAATGAAAATCTTAGGTGCCTAATTTCTTCTGAGTGATAAATTCTTCAAAGTTCAATCAAAATGCTTTGTTACCAGCTACTTTATCAGTTCACTGTGAAAATAAGTAAACTCTTGCCTGTCTAGTGACAGGAATAAGAAACTGAAAAATGCTCTATACATTAACCAATATTACTGTGGTCTACAAAAGATCAAAAGTACTTTAACATTTGGCTGACAAGTTAAAAAGTTCGTATTTTACATTCTCTCTGTAAGACACTGTGAGTAAGACTTTAAAAGGAAAGGAAATTAATTTGCTTGTGATGCATCTTCTGAAAGCCCCATATTCCTGGACCCGGGTCTCCCTAAAATTAGTCAGGCAAACCTTAACAAGGTCTACAGTGATCTATGATCTTTCATTCCTAAAGTTCCTGTAGTGGTGCTGGGATAAAAGTTATACATTCTCCCTCAGAGAAGGAGAGAGTTTAATATCTGCTCAAGAAAACACTAATTTATGAAAATACAAGCTTCACAAAGAAATCTCAGTTACTACTTCAAATGAAAAAAACCTGGGTGAATTTTCTCTGATAAAATTATTCCCCTCAACAACATCAGATTCTCTAAAGGACCTATATTGTACCAGGCTTCTTAAAGCTGAAAGACAGAAGCAAAAAATATTATGCTACAATTACACCTGCTTTTTTATGTTTGCAGAGGTATAAATGCCTTGGAATTATATTGAAAAGGGAGTGAAAGAAAGCATCTAGCTAACCAAGCTGAGCTATGCTGCTGGCAACAGAAGATTTCCACTTCTTTTGCCTTAGAATTGTGTTGTTCAGATGCAGAGTGTGTCTGTCCAGTGGCTGACGGGTTGGGCATGTGAGCGCCCTAATGGCTGCATGCTCCATGACCTACCATCTTCCACCCACATTTCAGTCTGACAGATGCTTTATGAAGCTGGTGGTTGTGTTCTCCGCTGTAGTCTGGAGGACATACCCAAGACACAGCGTGGGGCTGCACCTACAGACTCACTGTCAACAGGGATAGTAAGTCTGGTCTGAAGAATAACCTTGGCACTGCTCTGAAAGGCAAGATAGTTACACAAAGAAGATGTGTTGAGAAGATACAGTTTTTATATAGTTACATTTCGCATTTTACCATTGTTATACAGTATATTTTATGGAATAAGACCCAAAACCTCTGTTCCTTACTGGAAACAAACACAGAAGTCTTCAAAACTAATCCAGGTTTCCCTGGAAACAGAAGTCCTTTCTGACGCCATTTCTTCCTTTGATTTATCCACTCTCTGGCTGTTCATACCAGTATCAGCTGTTTCTGACATTCGTTTTGCATTAAAACTGATATTTTCATTTAATTTTTCTGCAGACGTAAGAAGACACACAGAGTCAATACAGTGACAATATGCACATTAAACTAGTATCATTCATATATTGAAAAATTATCCTAAAATTACCAGGATATTTTCCATACATCTCAGAGTTTAAAAATAAAAACTAAACCACTAACCTAAAAAGCGCAAAAGGTGACTGAAACAACTCTGTGTAGATATTTGTTGTTTACATCTGCAACTGCTTAAGTATTCTGCCTCAGTATACTATCACATATTGAACTGTGCACTAGAACCTTGAATATGAGCATGTTAGGCGAACATAGATACGAATTCTGCAAACCTAAAGTCATCTATATGGAGAAAAATACAACCCCCTATCCAAAGCTGCTATTCAGTGAAAAGCTGATGGGGCAGTATCGTAAAATTTTTACAACCCACATAAAGTAAAAAATACACAGAATTGTGGAGGACACAAAGACCTATCCTTGCCTCTTGTGCTTACATAGTACCCCCTGTGACGCTATTCATACAAGTCAGTCTAACTACTTGTAAACAGAAATAGATTTGAATTACATTATATGAATGTTCTTGTAGGAAAATCAGAACTACTCTCAGATTCATACCAACATATAAACACGCAACTGTAGACACATTTTGCAATCATTTAATAACTTTTAAAGTTGTGTGTAATGTCACTTTCTCTGCCTTTGTTGTGTGAGATTCATATAAATAGTTATTAAAGATGTTTCATCTGGCCCAGAAAGAAGTTTTAAGAATAGCTCAGAACAGCTGAGAATAGTCAAACAGAACAGTTCAAACATGAACAGCTATTAATTCAGAATGTTTGCTGAGGAAAAAGATGAGGTAATATCCAAACAGGTAAGGTATAACAAATAAGAAAGCTAATTAGAAAAATACATAATTTATATTTAAATGTGCTTTGTAATATTGCACAATCAGCAAGACACATAGTGATGTGCTGGATAACCAATGACCTTACAAGATGTAGGTGTCTCAAGAACTGAAAAAAACGTAATGTAAGAAAATGCACCAAGGACCTTTTCCTCTTCCATACACTATGGAAAAACTACCTGAAAGCTATAAAATCTAGGCTTTTCCTTAGATTTAAGTTAGCGTGAGTTTTAGGCCTCCACTGAAATAATCACAGTGCTTGGCTTACAAATGTGCATAACACAAAGAGGATGACGAAAGGGTCGCCAAAGCAGAACTATGCCCAATGTCATCTTCCTGTGGCTCAGTGTTGCTCCTCTTTGTTCATTTGCAATGCGAGTACTACAGTACTATCAATAGACCCTCTTCAGGATCAATAAGGTCAGTAGATCTCTGCAGCCTTCAAACAGAAGATGTACTCCACCCTAATTAGAAGCCAATATGTTAACCTCTCTGATGATTATGTATGCAGGCTGGGGTCAGAGGGAAGAAGCAAAACCAGTGTCAACAAACTGGCTGAAGTTTCCCCACTTCTCTTTGAAGAAGTAATAAGAATCTTGTGAGAACGTCATCAAAAAGCATATTTTATTCTTTTTGATCTATGCAGTCCACAGACAGTGCTGTTCAGAGCTTCCTGATAAAATTATATGAAAAAAGTAAATTAAACTGCTAACTATAGTTTACCTTACATGCAAGAAGTCTAGCTATGAGAAAGTGCAAACACCGGGTGACATAATGAAGATACAATTTGTGGCTACAAGGTACTACTGTTTTCGGTGCTACCATTTATTCATTATCTGGACACTTTGTTTCTGGCTTTTTTTAGTCATGAGCTAGCTCTTTAGGAAAACACAATAATAAGAAAATAAGACATTTGCTAGCCAAGTAAATGAAAAAGCCCAAGAAAATACCACCTTGTAAAGAAAATGTTCAAAATGGTTCGAAATTGAAATGATTCCCCTGCCTCAGTTTTCAGTAAGAAGGGATAGAAAGGCTGGCTTATTGGAATAGAGGTACAAAACCAGAAATTTCCCATTTACAGCAGAAATGGCAAGAACTTAACACACTGAATATGGAGCATGTAGCTAATTTCTGTAACAGAGCACGCAGACAATGGCACAGCAACTCTCCAACCCACAAAATGGTACTTAAGATATCTTTAAATGAAGTTTTCTACCATGAGTTTGAAGATGAGCAAATGTTCTACAGAAAATATGAAGAGTGATCTAACCAACTACAGATTATGTAGTCCAACGCCAATAATCTAAACTTCCAATGCAGGCAAATGGGTAGACACATTGAAAGGCAAAATAACTTTATCCAGGTAGAACATGTCAGACTATCTTAGGGTTTGGGGTTAGGATTTTTTGGGGAGGGGGAGATTTTTTGATTTAAAAGAACATACAAAGAAACAAAAATATCATACATGCTCTGCCTTAAGATGAATTGCATTTTCATTATGAAAAAAGTGCTACATAATGCTGCAAAGCTGAAGGCAATCAACCTATGAACTTCAGGTCCACTTTAACAGAAAGTCAAATTCTAGCTACTTTTATGGAAAATATAAAGATTGTCCATCTGATCAAAGAAATTTGCCACCTTACTGTGTACTACTACAATATATCATCTATACATTGTATAGTAATGTCATACTTAATCCTAGCGTGCTTATTTGAAATTTCACTTTCTAGTTTTTTCATTTTCAGCCTGTATTTTTGCTTCATTATGTCTCTGGACAAATACTGGAACAGCAAGATTTCTGGGAGATAACAGATGATCATGGGAGTAATGTGATACTACAAACAACTTCATCAGATACAGTATCTGCACCAAAAGCGACTGGAAATCACAGAAAAGCACTTCATCTAGAGACTACAACTGCTTTACTGTAACAAAAACACAGACAGAATAAGTGTAAATGTACAAATTTTCATTTTACAACAAAGCACAATTAAGTGTGATTATATATTTTAGGACAAATTTTTTGTTCTAGTGGATTTGCAAAGCTATGATTTCCTACTCAGGACATTCTAGAGAAAGACAGTGATGCACTATACTTTTACAAAAAAATTTCATTGCATTTGGTGAACCTTAATAGCACAAAATTTCAACAGACTTTAGCACCCTAAGTGGTTTAATGAGAATATATTAAGCTTTTTTATTGTAAACTTTTTTTTTTAAACAAACATAAAAGGACAGCGATTCCTAAACCAAAAGGCTGAAATATTGAAAAGCAATTATTAATCCAGGAAAGAATTTGTTTATATGTGTGAGTTTACTTATAAAATATCACTGTTCTCAATAGGAATGTGTTTCAAATCTGCTTCACGTGAACGGAAAGAACTTTCCTTACATTAGACTATTCATATATTGAACTGTCTAATGACCTGTAACCAAACTCTGAAGAGATAAAGTTTCTGAATTCTCATTCATGTACTTTGCAAAATTTGAGCAATTTTCAGCCATGTTAAAAAATGCATTCAAATCCCCATACTCATAAATAAAACATTAAAAAAAAATATTTCTCTGTTTCTCTCAGTTTTGGTTCATGATTCATGCTCTCAGATATTCTGTGGAGTTGAAACACTCACAATGAATCGTTTTGAAGTAACAGTAATATGAAGTAACCTTCATAACTTACAGTGTATGGCACCATGCAAAGCATTAAGCCAAGATATATTACTAAGCCTCCTTTCCCACTGATTTATTTTTTTAAAGATACTTTTTTTTTTTAGTTCATAAAGAAAAGCAATCATACCTGCACCACCTAATAAGAGCATAGAGCTCCAGTCTTTGAATCTTGTAACGATTAGTAATATTTTCTATGTAAAGTTGGAATAAATGGGTTTTGCATAGAGAAATGACAACATATGGGTTGAGATGGCCTGGAGATTGTGAAGAGAACCTGATTACAACGCATTTTCTTACAGTAGTGATGTGAATTATTAGTACTATAGGACACAGGATGGAAATAAGTCCACTTCATCCTTTTCCTTGGTTGTGGTATGGGAGCTTTTCTTTAAGTAGACTTTTGAGTAAGCAGAAAAGAGGGCAATCTGGCTAAGATTAAGATACACTGACTTCAGAATCAATTAATAGTGACAGCTACAAAAGTACTTCAAGATCTCAACACATGCAGGCTTAAAAAGTCACCTACTGCAAACTACTGTATTTCTACTAGGTTTTGGCATTGAGCTGTGAGAGAATAACTGGATATATTTCCAGCTCATTAACTTGTAGCATTTTGATACAGTGAGATTCTTTTCATTTGGTTCTTTTTTTTACTGGCATGTTATTAATAAAAATAAGACTTTATAAGAAAAGACATTCAAGCACTATAGTACTTGAAATCATTATCACTTCTTAAAAGTATAGCCTCAAAATTATATCCTTTGCCTGTACTGAATATATGTCTATCAAATTTGTTTTAAAACTATTTATTAGTATAAGTTTTGGAGAAGTATGATTTACATTTCCCTCGAGATATTTAGGAATCATAAATGTATTCTTACTCTTCATTATACTTTTAGTATGACCCGGGTTTTTGGCTGGTTTTGTTTCCCCCTCTCTTTATGACCTTATCATGTATTACCCTATTTGGGGGTTACTATAGATGGTTAATAGGTTGCACATTTTTCCAGAATAAAGATAATGTTAAAAACTGTGAAAATATCTAAACATCTTGGGCAAAATTACTGGGTTTAATTACTGTATAAGTTAGGAAGCTGTGCACATGCTTTAACTGAGAGGGTATTTATTGTATTACTATTAGAATAAGGGATCATAGATATTTTACAGAGAACAAAATAAAAATTTAAAAATGTTGTTAAAAGATGGCATTCTATGCCTCCCCCCCCATGAGAATCAACCTTCAGAAATGCTTAAAAAGCAAAGGCGCATTGCACAGGCTTCTACAGGGACCGAAGATGAGTGTCACAAAGCCAAGATGAGTGTCACATCTATGAATCATGGTGTAAATAAAGCATGAAACCTATTCACAGGTTTAACATGTTCTTTAACTCTGAGATTCACTTTCACAACTCTGGTAAAAGGAAAGGTGTTTCCTAGCAGTCAGTTTTAGGAGAGGGTCATTGTGCACCAAGCAAATCTAGTCACTTCTTTTAAACAGAAGGCTCTTACTGACTTCTCCTGACCAAATCCTTAAAACATTCACTTAAACAAGGAAGTACTCATTTTGAAAAAAATAATCAGTTTGAATACTCTTCAAATACTTATCTAAAACACATTAAAAAAGTAGCATTTATTAAAATGGCAGTTGTCCTTTATGCTTGCCTTTTATTTCAGGAAAAAAAAAGTGTAACTCACGTGAAAAAGAGCTCTGCATACAAAATCCAGTATACTTTACTGGAAAGTAACTTATGAGAAGTGTTATTTTTTCAAAATATTCTCGTAAACTACGGATTTTTTATACCAATCTGAAAATTCTACTCTATGTAATTATACATGCTATCACCAGTTCTTCAAAATTTTTTCCCATTAAAAAAAAAAACCAACATAAATAAGTAAGACTGTTGATATTTGTACACGAGGACTAACACTGAGGCCAAACAATATGGGAACAACAGAAGTCTGAATATAAACTTCAAACACTCTTACCGTTATTGAATCTCTCTGCATTTTGCTGCCGAAAGAGGATGGTCTCCTATACGGTGAAAAAAAAAACAAACACAAAAAAACCAACAATGGTGATTACAAACTTGCATTATTTTGTTAAAGAAAATACTTGAGTTTGGGGTAGTCCTTCCTGAGATGGAGAAAAAACCACAGTAAATTATCATTGTAGTATTACTTTTTTAAAAGAAAAATAGAAATAATAACATTTACCGTAATCCCTACATATACATCACCAATAGACAGATTGATATTTTTTCTAGAGAAGCGTATAGGATCTGGAGTCTGGGATAAAAGCCTTTCCACATGCCTACTCCTCTGCTCTTAAAAAATGTTCTGTGATATTACTGTTCTTTGACAATAAAATAAGTTCTATTCTAAGATCTAATTAGTCCTATTGTAGAATCAGTTCTGTTCTTTTATATTCTAAGTTTCCATTCTTGGAAAGTATATGGAGGGTTCCTTTTCCAAAAAGCATTTCTTGCTGTGCAAGTGTACAAAACTGTCACTGGAAACAGCATGCCTAATTGCTACAGCTTCTTTTGTTTTCTATCAGCTGGACAAATAAAAAAGTAGCCTGCTCTTTTTTTAAATGTTTTTGGCAAACAACTTTATCCTGGTCAATCCCATTTCCAAGCTAGAGCTGCTGAACTAATATTAATGCAATATCTACTTACGTTTAAAGTTGAAATCAAGTCAGCCAGCCTTTCAGAAAGTCCACTCATCAAATTTGCAAAGACAGGGTCCTTTTCTCTGAGAGATTCAAACCTTTCATACTGTTAAAAATGCATGCCTAGTCATTCTTCCTTCTAACTGCCCTCTTACCTGCAATATGACACACTCTGCACAAGACTCACTTGCACTTTTTTTTCTCCTTTTTTTCTTTTTTACAAGGGAGGGAGAGCAGGAGAAAGACATTTCACAGTTCACAGCTTATTTCCTATTTGAATGTGGTATTATTAACGGGTTAACTGGACTAGCTTTGCCTTTGCAAAGATAAATATTAAAGCCTAAAAAAAGCTACTGCAAATAAATTTGAAAGCTTCTTTTCATTCCAGGTCTCCTTTTAACAAGATTTGTCATGCCTCCCCTCACCCAAACTCCTCATATATACACCTGCTGAAACTTAATAGCATTGAGTTGGCCAACATCTGGACACACACAGTGATTTTCTGTTCTGTGTTTCAAAGAGGAGTTGTGGGAGCTATACTGACTTGGAGCTGCTTTTATACTTTCTCAATACAATCTACAAACATTTTTTGAGAGGCAGACTGACATAATTTAGAGAGTCTGAGTAAGTTAGACTGGATGTCAGGTCACAACGGTACCTAAAGCTTGCACAAGGTCACTGTGCTATAACTCCAGGTCTGCCTCAACCCTCCTGTTACAGACTACCCTGCATACACAATATGCAGGAAGCTGTGATTGCTTCCTTAGAGGAAAGCCTTATGGTTTTCTACCTTAATTCCTAGCTGCAGAAAAATTCTTCCTGCAATGTTTTACAGCACTTACACGGGCCCAGAATAGGCTCAGGAATCTCACCTCTGTCAAAATTTTAGGTGTTTGATCTTCTCTGACCTAACTAAAGGAAAGAGTTGAGAGAATACACTACAGATTTAAGAGCCTCTGTTCCAAAATAGGAAGTACCAAATAACTTAATACTTATAACTGCAGTATTTTTAATTGAGAGAATTTGAAAGTCCCATTTTTTCACAGTACAAATCCTAGATTATATTCCAAATCTGTTGTGGGTTTTTTAAAGAATGTTCATGAGTCAAAGCTGGGGACAGATCTAATATAAACAGCAATTAAGAGAAAAATACATACATTGCTGAAATTGTTAATGGTTGAACAATTTGGTAGTTGAATATACTATGCCTTACACCTCCCTTTTTAGATTAATTTCTTGCTTTTCTAGAGCAAATGAGCTGAAAAGGACACAATAGGATTTTGCAATTGCCCATGTACTTCAACTCCTGTTTTCAGACTTCTCTACATACAACTGTGCAAAACAAAAGGCAAGCTGTGATCACTTGTCACATGACATTGACATTCATGCCTCAGCATTTGATGTGAAAAATCTCTAGTAATACATAGACTATCTCTTCCCTTTAAACTGTGACTTCACAAGTACTCATGCACAGAGCTGTCATATTTCTGCATGGCAGTCTACAATGTGCAAGATTCCAATGTTGCCAAATTTCTTGAGTCACAGGATCTACCGAACAGGTACATGTCAACTGGACAATTTCTCAAGTTTCTTCTCAGAAATCCTAGGCATGTCCAAAGTATAAAAATTACCAGATCTGCTGTCCAAGCCTTGGAGACTGTAATGTTTGCACCATGAGCCTAGCACTTTCTGCTAGACTTACTGTTCATGGACAGTACACATGAACCATGCTTCTAGTACAGACATGTGGCAGCTTACTACGGAGCTACTTATTTGGTATTAACAGCTGGAAGCAGGAAGGCCTGTAGAGATACAGAAAATTTTCAAAAACTGCTTCAATAGAATTTTCAGTAAAGGAGGAGAACGTACCCTGGAACATCTGGATGCTTAGCAAGGTTACTTTAGCCAGTTTGAGCTGTGAAATCAATCTAACCACAGCTGTGTAGAGTCTCCTGTAGGCTCATTTACTCAGTTTTTGGAGCGCAAACGTAACAGTCAAAAGCTGTCTGCTTCTCTAATGGTGCGAGATGTGTCCACCTACTGAAACCTCCAATTCTGAGAGAACTGGGAGTGTCAAGGAAGTTCTCATTCTGTTATGCTATTGCCTCAGCTACAGCGACTAAGACATTGGCACAGAAAGAGAAACTAAAGGCATTTTTCCTCCTTAATGAACATACATTGTCTGAAAGGTCAACTCTGTTGCCACAGCATCTGATAAAGAAAGAAATAAAGACAAGACTTGGATCCAGCTGTGAAACATGAAAGGATGCACACAGTTAGGTTCAGGGAGGATTTATTTACTTACTGTTCTTCCAGTAATCAATGGTGTGCTGGTTTTGGCTGGAATACAGTTAATTTTCTTCGTAGTAGCTAGTATGGGGCTATTCTTTTGGATTTGTGATGAAAACAGTGTGAATAATTCAGGGATGTTTTAGTTACTGCTGAGCAGTGCTCACACAGAGTCAAGGCCTCTTCTACTTCTCACTCCACCCCACCAGCGAGTAGGCTGGGGGTGCACAAGAAGTTGTGAGGGGACACAGCTGGGACAGCTGACCCTAACTGACTAAAAGGATATTCCATATCATATGATGTCATGCTCGGTATATAAAGCTGGAGAAAGAAAAAGGAAGGGGGGGATGTTCAGAGTGATGGCATTTGTCTTCCCAAGTAACCATTACGCGTGATGGAGCCCTGCTTCCCTGGAGTGGCTGAACACCTGCCTGACGATGGGAAGTGGTGAACGAACTCCTTGCTTTGCTCTGCTTGCCTGTGCAGTTTTTGCTTTACGTATTAAACCGTTCTTATCTCAACCCATGAGTTTTCTCACTTTTACCCTTTTGATTCTCTCTCCCATGCCACCACGGGGAGTGTGCGCACGGCTGTGTGGTGCTTAGTTGCCAGCTGGGGTTAAACCACAGCAAATGTTAAATCTGAACACAAAATCTGAGGAAAATTACTTGTTTAACTTAAAAATCACAAATCTAATTTATTGTCTATTATAATAATTAACATATAATTGTAAAAATAATGGTAATTCATAAATATATAGCTATCTTGTTACTTTTGCGGCTTCACTTGTATTTTTCAGCCTCCTGACATTAGCTATGTCATTATTTTATTCAAATCCACCAAATAATATGTTTTAAAATCGATCTGATATTTTTATAAAACCAGTATCCTTTTCTATTGTAGAAATGATGCATGGCAAAACTTTTCACACCAGTTTTTCTGTAAAAAACACAAGTCTTCCAAAAATAAGCTCTCTGGATATAATGGCACGTGAAGGCATAAAGCTTCAAATACATAATTTTTAAGATCAGAAATCCATTTTAAATCTACCTCCAAAATGACAAAGATGACCAAAAATATTTCTTAAGATCCGACCCTGTATTAAATTTCCAGGTTTGATGTTGACCTCAGAGTTGTATCATCAAAGGGCTTTGCATCTCTAGTCACTTGGACACAATCTGTTTTGCCTACTCCTGAGTCACTATTTTCACTAAATGGAGTATCAGTTCTCGGTTTAGCTGTGATGTGGGAGAAGGTAACAGAGGTGGCTTTTGAAAAAAGGCAGTGGTACAAAAGAATAAAACAGCTGCAAAGTTGTGCACAGACTAAGGTATAGGAATGGCTTAAAAATACTGGATTACCAATTCGGCTTATTTTTTATTCAGTCTCTAGTGTTGGAGCTGTCCCAATCTGTATAAGCAAGTAGATATTTGTGGGCACATCAGAAAGATTCTCTATACCACAAATATATAAATTTGTGTCGCCCTTCTTAAGTCCCTCTTCTAATTCATGTGCCTCATATCTCATGTATACTTTTTTCCTGAAAAAATAAGCAAGGATTTTTCATTTTGTGCAGATTGAAGTAACTTTCAAAAAAAATCTGTAAAGAAAATAGAATTTTTTATTTTCTACCTAGCCCTCCTGTTGACTCAATACCAATGCACTGGGCTTATGAAATATATATTAAGAAGGATTAGAATAAGGAGAAGAAAAATCTTGTTATGAGACAACAGTATGGAATGTTTATGGGGAACTTGAAAAAAAGTACACAACTGAGCATGCAAACTAAATTGACTGGTATCAACCGTAAAGCAGAAGGTAAGACTGAGCTTGCATATATAAAAGGATGGCACTGAAGTAAGAAAACTGAGGTAAATATGAACTTTAAAGAACAAGTGTATTGTGTTTATGTCACTGGGCGAGAGTGGCGATTTTAACCTTCTGCTCTAGAAAGCAGCATTGCCAGGGAGCTTGATACTGAAGAAGCCACAAAGAAAAATCAGAGTGTTCTGTTTCAGATTTCTGAACATCGCAATCAGGTCAGTCTATTAAAATATGTAGTAGCCATTGCA